ATGAGGAGAGAGGACGGAGAAGGGATTTAGATTTTTTTGGCCATCAGCTCATTCTTTTGGGTTTGTCTCCCCAGGTGTGCCCTTAGAGCACTTGCTATAACAAAGTATACAATGTTGTTGCTGTAACTTGATGTGATGCTGCTGTTGCTGCTGTGTGACGTATTGATGAGTGTAATACATTTGTTAGCCCACCCACCCAAAATCACCACCAGCCGTCACTGGCTACACTGATTATTGTTCTGTGAACCTGACACCAGACATTTACTTTTACTTTTAGCTTTGGTTCAGTCTTTAGCAACTGTGTGCTAGTTGGTCAGTGATATTCATCAGCCACTTGGTAAATGTGTCTGCCTGCTAGCTGATTCGCGAGGGCAAAATTGACTTCATGTTCCTGTCTGAATCCACTCTATGAACTCCTTAATACATTTGAAACTAAAACATGCACTAAACTTGTTTTTTCCCCCATATTATGAACCTAGGATTGAAAGGCAGATACAGTTAGAATATACTGTACTGCAGATTAGGTTAGGAGTAATGAGAAATGTTGCTGTCATTTTGGCAGTTGTCAAATATTGATTCAGTTGAAAGAGGTGTTTAAAACTGAATGGGTTTTTGCACTGATATAGAACTGTGGGGGGTAAAAAGTAAACACTAAAAACATATGTGGACCATGTTAAACGCTCTCCTTTTTAAATGCCTTTGTGGATATACTGTGGAAGAAAACAGAATGTAATGGACAGATGGAAACAACGTAGAACATGAAATTAGAGTGACCATTAGAGTCAACCAATTCAACTCACCTGCTCAGTTGCGATAGGCGTTGAGCAGTTCAGTAGATGCGGGTTCTGTTTCTATGTCAGCAGTGGCAATTTTCCTGCAAAACCTCTGACCTGCAGAATACACAAACAAGCTATTCCAGGAACATCTTAGCAATCTGTGAAATGTCAAATGCCCCTTAACACTTATCACACAGCAGCATTTCCTTATTATATACAGGCTTTGCTCTTAAGCACTACCAGCATAGCGACAGCATTGAAACCCACCTTTCAGCTGGTAAGTCACTTGTTTGATTCTTTTCTGAGAGCTGGAAAAATGTCACAAAGAGCTGCTTGCAGTTAGACCTCCTGTAGGCATGAGTACTGAGATATAGTGATGAAATGGAAAGCAGAAAGTAGACATCATTTCTTTTAATTTACTTTGAAAAGGGCCTATTCTGAATGGTGTGCTAAAGAAGAAGTATGGACATGCAGTTTCATTCTTCTCAAGGAGAAAAAGAATTGGTAATCTTGTAGAACAAGCAATAAAGAAGTTTGCAATAGACTATGAGAGGCTTTATGGCACTTGGCCAAAATGTCATTCAAAATGCATTTACTTGGCAACTGGCACCTGGCGAGTGCGAGAACAGTAACAGCACATCTTCAAATTCCTCAAGACATTATCATGCTAAATGAACTGCATTTCTAACTAACTTGATCTTACAACAATTTCTTCATAAATAAAAGAAGAATAAATAATAATAACAGAGTTGTTGCTGTCTACAGAAGCAATAAGTCAAACATACAGTATCATCAATATTTAAAAATAAAGAGCATGCAGAGCCCCTCAAAAATTGTATTTGTGCTGAAGACCAGGCAGCCCAAGTATGTCGTCCTTCTACCAAATAATGAAGAGAGAATGATACGACTGAGTGCTGATATTGAAAGACGTACACTAGCAACTACTCATTAGATTTTTTTCAGTTCTATTAAGAACAATGCAAGTAGAATTTTCTCATAGCACCATATCAGTTCAGGGTTAGGCAAGTCAAAGGTCAAGAGAGAAATAATAATGAAAACGAAAAAAAAGGAAAGTTTGAGTCCAAAAAAACAAATTAAATGGCTATAAACTCCCAACACTTCAGCCGCAAATATTATTATTTGGTTAGAAGAAACATTAAAGTTCACTCACAAAGAAACTATTAACATGGACATATAGCTATGTACTGTATATTTGCATGTTATGACTGTTTGGTCCAAATAAAAGCACCTGTAGATGTAAATAAACTGGACGAGCCAAGAAAATATGCACTGATGCAAGACTATTTTGTGAAGCTTATAGTCTTAATGTTTGCTATATGTGACACCATAGCTTGCTGTCAATTGTTTTGTAGGATTTTTTTGTTAATATTAGAGGTGTCTTAAATGTATCTCTCATTTGTGCAAGTCAATTTAGTTATTGTGCCTTTGGCTATAAGTCAGTGTACCTGCCCTGTCCTACCCTGTCCATACCCCAATATTTACAACATTCCCTCCCAGAAAATAATGTCCCTACATGTCAATTGATCCGAAGTATTGATTTACTAACAACTCACCACACAAGGATCCCACATCAAAATTATTATTAGGGACTTAACAAGGCTATGTCTAATGCTTGTCACTGATTGTATCAGGCTATAGTGATTTTGTACCTAGTTCCATCCACCCAAGTCATGTATGTATATAATGTGTGGTGGTTTTCATCTCAAGGCAAGATGGTAGCATTGAAACCTGTGAACAGGACACATTTTTACAAGGATGATGATTGAAGTAGTACCGGGGGGACATGGCACCAGAACACAGAATAACATCTATTAATGTGGAGTACACCTTATCCCAGAAGACAAGGACATATGGTTATATGTGTTTATTAACTAAACTAATGCAGAGTAAATAGTATGAAATGATAATGCAAAC